CGGGCGGAACAGACTTCAGTTGTTGAGCAGCATGGCTTGGAGCGCTTGGAGGAGGCTGCGGAAGTATATCTTCATACTGTCTAAAGCGCTGCGGCATGCGAACACCAACAGTTTGGTTCTGCGCTGGGCCAGGGATGAGCCTTCATCTATCTCCATAGACGCTGTGCCAAGATTGGCATTGGGTACTGGGACGGGCAGATCGTCATGTAAAGAAGAACCTCCATATGACACATCCTGGGGGGGGTGCGCTACCGACGGAGCTGGATAAGTGCTGGGAGACTCCTCGCTGAACGACTTGTGAACCTGATCGGAAGACACGGACGAGGATTGCGGGCAGCGGAGCTCCGTACTCGAAAGCGCCATGCTAATGGGAGCATTCTTGACCTCCAGCCGGGACCGTTTTGCAGCTCCTAGGAAGTCTTTTGCTTTTGATAAAGCAGAGAATAAACTTTTTTGCCTTTCGCACACGATCGTTGATGCCTAGTGTAGGCACTTTCCTGAGTAAACTCACGTGTGCAAGTGCATTTGAAACGTCTCCCAGATGAATCGGTCTGATCCATGGGAAGCTATAGAGACAAGAGACACATGAACCCCGCAGTGAAAATCGGATCGAATGGCTCACCAATTTCATCCAACAACTTGGTATTTCATAATAGACCTAGGCACTAGATGGCCAGCGCGACTAACCGAACATGGCTATATTCCCACAGGGCAGAATCCTGGCAGCATAGACCAGGGCTGGCGCACTTGACGGCGGCAGAAAAAGCTGAACCAGCTATGGCATTCAATAAAGAGGCGAGTCTTTGCTAAACAGACCAACCAATGGAGGTCCCATCTTCACCTTCTTCTATCATCACTGCCCCACCAGACTATCGTGAAAGTGCTCGAAGGCTCGCCAAACTCGTTACAGAGGCCATGACTTGCGACTTCGCCCTCCTACATTATGACAAAATATCAAGATCAATGATCGAATGGTGCTGGTGAGACGCTGTTTGAATCACGTACCACATTTAAGCGTTGACATGGCCCACAAATGCAGGCCCAACGATGACGAGGGAAAGAAGGTGCTACCGTCGAACTTCAAGAAGTACCGTGAAGAACATGACTTTCTATATCCGTGCTGCCTGTGTGCCGAGGAGGGTGGAAGAGGGGCATACACGGAGGCGGCGGTGTACTCATGGAGGGATAAGACCACCGATAACACTTGTTGGAAAGCAAGATGCGCATCTGATCGATGTGGATATCGAGGTCAGTGTTCTTCATATTTGAAAGATAAAAAACTAACTATCACCTAGTTAAAATCGATGCATACTATCACCGATCGTCTGTAGGAACCTGCCAGTACCCTCGTCGAGGTATGAACTTGCTGCGCTGCAGAGTCATAATTTTATTGAGATACTGCAGAACAGCACAAAGAACCGCGCCCGATTCATCTCGAATGGACTTACCAGGAACAAAAAGAATTGATGAAGAACCTTGAGTCTGCTGGCGATGGAATTACAGCAAATGAGTTCCACACTCTTTTTAGACGCTGCAAGCAATGTATGCGGGTGGGAACAAGGCCGATCATGAAGCGTCATATTCAAGTCTGTTCAAGAGGAGTGCAAAAGCGAAAACCTCGGTAGGTGTCGGGATAAGGCTTCGTTATCGCTTATACTGATGACACTAGGTCTGGGGTAGGAATCACTGGCACGACGTAAGGTTTTGGGCTGGTCCGAGCGCTAACTAGGGATGGGATCACTTGCAGGTGGAGCTGCACAAGAGGGCGAGGTCTGATCATGTTAGATGAAGACCTGTACTTAGCCCAATCGCACTAATATCATTTACGCTGGAAAATTCACCTGTGAATTGATGCTCAATCCTCCTCGTTTGCGAATCGCCGACTGACTTGAATACTGTATTTTGATAAACCATCCATACCAACTTGAGTCAAAGTTGACACGAGCGATAATCGACAAGTCTTGAGCTTGAACATGATACGACAGTACTTGCTGACCAACAGTGCTGACCAATCAACTACGGCCATGGCAATGGACCCGCATCAGCGTCGGAAAATAGCGGAGCTTATGATACCAATCCTTGATTTCTGCATCCATGCACTTTCAAAGTGGATTATTTGAAGGATCGTCGGCCTGTGAGTTATCATGATCAGGCTCGTGCTTCAAACGCCTTAATCATGCCAGGGTAATTTAAAATTAACTTTTATGGGATACACTACGGACTAGCACTACGGACGAATACTCCAATGTGATATCGTTCAGCGTTTGTAGCAGCCACCGTACCATCACGCTAAGTCCCTACCTCATCTCACACTTGGCCGTCTGTTGTCACCTATTACCAGTAGGGGCTTTCCCCGAAGCCTGTCGCCCAGCAGCGACGTCTTTTGCTGTCACCTGTCGAGTCCTGACCAGGCCCCCACGCCACCTTGGACGCGAGAGAAAGACAGCTCTCCTCGTCCTCGCAACCCTCGTAAGAATGAAGGCAGAGTCAAATCGTGTACCCACATCGTTTGAAATTTTGTTATCAGATTTTCAAGACAGACGTTCGTGGGCGCAATTAAGCTGTATCCTGTTATATCATTGATTTATTTTTCTGCTAGGCAATGGAGTTGAAATACTTTAAACCGTGACGATACTATATCTTTAGCTACCTCTGAAAAGTTTGAGTGCGTTTCAGGCCATTGATGATACTTCATCGGACTCCAAGTCCTTACGTCATTTTGATGGCCAGGGAAGGGTTGATGGCCAGGGGATATTCAATCACCGCAGCGCTAGCAGTTCAATACAAATATATTCTCGGACGAGAATATCAGAAACCACACGCTGTACATACTTCCTGCAATTCACCATGTCGACCCCATCCTGCCTTCCCCCTTTCAGCCCCTGGCTATTCGTCTCGGAATGTTTGAACTCTCGAATATATTAACTGCTCCTAAATGGCTGGAATTCTATATACGACTTATACCATCGGAGATGGTCAGTTCATAATTTCTAAAACTTTGCACATCCTGGGCCTGAAAGTTCTTCATACAGATTCGAACTGAATTGTACTTGCTTTACGTTTTGCTTAAAGGTCGGGTCGATCTCAGCGATATATGGCAAATAGTTGGGGGGCGTTTGTCGGAAGCGCAAAGGGAGGAATCGTTGAAAAATATTTCTGGCGACAACACAAGGCGTAGGACCGCCGAACGAATTTTCATGGAAGATAGGAGGGATCGGTGTCAGTTGGAAGTATCCCTATGCAGTCAGGCCATCGATTACGTCCAGCAGAGATGGATAATTCGTGAGATTTTTTTGATTCAGTATTCGAATGAGTGCTTGAGCGATCTGACACCATCTTTTTTAGCATTGCGTCCTATCGAGGTCCCAACCGCGGATTATGTCTCTATCTCAGCAACTCCGAGATGCGCTGTTACACCTCCCATAGTGGTCCATTCGGCAGCTGCAGCTGCTTATTCGGCAGCTGCGCAACAGAAATGTGAAAGTTGGTTAAGGAGACAACACACCGACCTCACACCATCTAACGAATTTTTCTCGATCGAAAGTGACCTGCCTCCGAACGCTCTGGCTGCCGGTCAGCTTGCTCATGCCCCTGAACAACGAACATCAGTCTTCGTAAACGTCAGTATCGTCATTAATTCCCTTGGCTGCTCTTACCTTATCTTTAAAGTGCAACCCGTCGTTCCGCCTGTGCAGCACATGGGTTACCCTTTGCGTCCACGAGGCCTTTGATGAGGCACGCAAAGTGGAACTAAGCACTGAGGCTGGATTGATGGCAACATATCTCGACATTGAACGTTACTATTCTCACCACCGCAATGCCAAGTCGGAGCTGCTTTACTTACGGGCAAAGATGCTTCGCGCCAAAGCTGAGGTAGAAGTTTTTGCGCTGGCCATCGAAAATGCGTGTGCGTCCAACTACTCTGAGAGCGCTTTCTCTTCAAATGCTCATGTCATTACAGCTTCACCACATTCAACTTATTTCCAGTCGGTCCTACCAGAGCAGGTGCATATCTGCAAGGAACGGACTTTTGCCGGATCAATCAACGATCGTACTGACTCGACTTATGGTAATAGCCTTGCGTTTGTCTCAGCCTCGATGTAGGTTGCCATGCTGCTGCGTACGGTCGAGTGTAATATAATCTGTTTCACTTACATCTGCCGCCGTTCGAATTGTACTGGTAATCAGGTGCATATATTATCTATATATGCTTGTATGTACTGCCGACCTTGTATACGTATACCATTGAGTAGCTTCTTTAATTTTTATTGATCAGACTCGAATTCAATGATTACGGTCTGAGATCTGAACTTCCGACGCTCGAATATGCCCATCAGAATATTTGATCTGCAATGGGTTCCTGGAACTCCATTAAAAGGTGTAACCGTTGTTGGTGTTAGTAATTGCTGACAAAGTGGCTTACAAAGTACTAGTCTTGACTCTTGCCATCATCAAAATTTTGAACCTTTGCTCGAGACCAATATGCAGAGCTTGCGTGCGCTCATTCATATCAACTTGGTTGATCGCAAGGATTTTGTTCGTGACTTGTTGCATGTACGTGTCTGCGACAATGATTGTGCACTTGTTGTGCACCTAATCTTATTGCTTTTTAGGCATTTCAGGGTAGCTAGGTGTAATTTTTCTCATCTCCTGTTGCGTTCCTTTTGAAATTGATCATCGTGCCCAGCGCACCGCTGCTCGACGCGTCTCGAACAGAATCAAGATGTGCAACGACCGCGTGCCTATGATGACACTGATCTATATGATCTGATGCTTATTGCCCGCGCTTCACAGATCACTCATTTTTTATTCACACAGGATTAGAGTTGCTACGGAATCGACTCCCGGTCATTTTCGGTCCGTTGAACTACACGTAGACGCGGGATCCAGGTATGAAGCCCGATCCACTCGAGTGTTAGCCATTTTCCGGACAGGATGGCCTTTAAGGTGCGTAGCTTCAGGCACTATTCATGCCAGTGTTCACAGCTCTCTATTGCTCAGACCACCAGCTTTTGCTCCACGGAAGATATGGATAAGGCGACCACAATGGACAAGCTAGGTGACCAAATCATGTGCTCTTCGTCACGCGAATCCATCGTGTATCAATCGTCCAACTTCGACCAAGCTATCCACTCTCCCACTTTCGCTCGTATCAGACATCATCTTGAATTCCGCATTTCTACCTGATGGACTTGATGCCCGGAGAGATACCGCTCGTTATGAGATCCGAGAAATTAGTCAGAAACCCGAGATGATTCTGCCAGAGGTCTTGCATGAGGTTGCATACGGTAGGAAAATACTTCGGAATTCTGGGATGCTGGGTGCTGGGATGCATTGCGAAACGACCAGTGGAGTTGGCTGATAAATATTTCTAATCCCTCAAATCTGCGCTAACACCATCAGTTTCATCACTTCAGCCGTCAGCCACTCAAAATCTACCACCTCGCTTGCTTCCCCTCGTCGTCCTCATCATCACACCTCGCTCTACAAGTCATTAACTTGTGCTGCATCAACATATCTGTAACCGTACGTCCCTTTCTACCGAGCCACCGCTTCCTCCACTGAACCCTCAGTCCAACTACGTTGGTGGCATCGACAGAGTTCGCTCAGCTCTACCTAGCTTTTGAGGGTGTAGGTGTTGATGACGAGGATGTATTTACCCTCGCCACTATGTAAGTCCTCCTTGGAGGAGGTAGAATGTTTCTCAGCTGGTGAGTAATCATTTCCTTCGCCACATCGTTTTATTCAACTTCTTGCATGTGGTCCTAGTAAGGGAATGTACTCCCGACTTTACACACATCCTGAGTCAGTATCCGGCCCTGAGGACTATGGAGAATGGGATCGACCGAGGTGAGGTTTATCTGATCTGTATGACGGTTGCGTGTGAGCTGATGATGGATGATGCCACTAGACCACCTCAGGACGCTGGTTACCAGCCATCATACCTGCAACAGTCCGAGCCATCTGGACTGTGATTCCCTGGAACCACCCCCACCACCACCATCCCCCACGAACAACGCACATCTGGCTATGAAAGCGGCGCGTATTCTCAGCCTTCTCGCGACTACTTTTCTGTCCCGGAATCGCTGGAGCCACGTCATGGAGGCAACGTGTACGCATCCCCTGCTGGTCGCCCTCCTGGGGCATCATCCAGTTATGCGCCAGCGGGAGGTTACACCACCTCCTGGGGCTCCCCCTCAAGCTAGACCTTCATATGGACACGACCCTTCTCCTCAAGGAGGGTCGGGTCACGGCGCTGCAAGTGATTATTACAATCGGCCTCCGCCAGGTATGCATAGACTGCCAAGTATCGCTTCTTCCTGATTAATGGCGAAGAAGGTCAATCAGCAGTCACATTCATACACTCCCGATCACGCAGCTGCTCATGGTGAATCCTTTAACCTACCACGCTACCAGCCTCAGCCACCGAGCGAGTTCGACGAAGAGGTGTACAAGTCTCATTTCTCTGCTCATGCTCAGGCTTATGGGTAAGTTCTTTCTAATGAAGGCGGCTGGGCTGAATCAAATGGCGCTTCTTATAGTTCTGGTCATGACGATAAACCGATGGCGAATGATGATATAGGCACAGCTGCCGCTATCGAGGCGCTGAAGATCACAGCTGCAAATAACCAGGAAGACCACAGGATGGATTCCAAACTAACACGGACGCTCCGCATGCAAGGCCATCTGCCGGACCACAAGGTGGATTCCAGACTGACACGGACACTCAGCATACGAGACCGTCTGCTAATATTTCTTCTGGTGCGCAATATTCATCAGACATAGGCGGGCCACTGCTTCCTTCCATCTCATTTACACGGATTCCTCGCTCTTAGGCGTTTCGTCCCCAATGCTCCCGGCCAAAGAGGCAACACTCCTGCACAAATGCTACCCCACCTAACCAATCAGTTTAGCCTGCTTATGTACTAATCTATCTCCAAAGTTGAACTTGAGCGTGTCAAGAATCAGCTCAAATCGAGCCTGGTGATGGCTCTCGAGAGTCGGGCGGTGGAGGTGAAGGTGAAGGATCTTTGCCGGAAGGTACGACAAACTTTTATCATAAACATGCCCGCATACTCACGTGATAATTTAGTTGCCTGTCCACAGTCGAAAGACTCCTGTGACCGAAATGACTACGACCTATGATAAATAAGGTGACTCCTGACTGCGTGCGCCGCGTCGCTACTAGACTATTCGCACCTTCGTCTGGACACAGGGCCACAATTTTGACGATAGGGCGCGGGGATATATGAGATTGGAAGGCGACATTTCAAAATATGGTGTTCCAGGAGCATGAAAGTTTGAGCGCTTTATAGATCACTGCATATTTTCGGTATTTAATTTAGCTGCAACAACTTGTTTTCATCATACGAGGTGTGCTTGACGAACAATATAAATAAAAGAAACAAAACGCGACAAGGAAACTTCAACCAACCCACCAAATGACTTGGAGGGACGTTGCTTTCAGATGCATCAGATGATCAGATAATCGATAATCAAGGATGCGGCTCCAAAAAGGAAATAACAACAACAGGTTACCATATATGCGTTTGTGGTTCTCACGTACTAGTAGTACTCTCAACAAGCGATTATTATTGTTTGCAAGTTGGAAGCCATGGTACGTTCCGATATCGCACCTTCTGACACTGTACAGTCCTCAAGTCTCAGGATGTTGTCTTGTTCTAGGCAACTCAAGGCTCTCAACAGCGCGTAGCGGAGCTGCTGGACCGTAGTTTTGGAATCTGGCCGACGCAACTGCCTCGGTACGCTGAACCGGTAATGTTGTGAGTACGGATCTAGTACTGATACATAAAATCTGAGTCAAACGTCATTTTCGTTATATAGAACGAATGGACGTGAAGATTACTCGATCCCTATGAGGCGAATCGATGACCCTCCGTAAGTGACATTCGCTCCCATTAATGATATCATTGACCGTTTTTAACAGGCCCGGATTGTATGGGAGTGTTTGGGAGGAGTTGGTACACCCCTTGGGGGGGACTTATTACTATCACAATAAAAAGGTGAGCACTGGCCGTTTGTATAAGCGATGTATTTACTTACCTGAAATTTAGAACACATATACGTCACTAAATATACGCCACATGGATCGACAAAGGCTCGAAGAATTTATCGATGTATCAAGAGCCGCGGCGAAAGAAGACGATTGGGTATTGGTTGTTCACCAAATGAGCTACAGAGGAGAAGACGTATACCAATACTACTATGTGGTCCACAACCTGCGCATCATCACCTGGCTCGATGATCTGGACGGCTACCTTCTTCTCCGAGAATGTATCAAGGCAAGCGAGTGGAGGCATAAGAGTGCGTTGCCATGCAATTACTTGATCTTTTTCTCGATCGTGTTATACAGGGCTCGAACTAGAAGCTCAGTATTGGTGAGTTTGGTCGACGAATATCGTTTCACTTATTTTTATGTTTCACTGCTTCACAGGAGACACGTTGAATTTTTTCCGCACACGTTCCGCATGACGAGCTCCCAAGTTAGACGCACACGCAGAGAAATTCTTTGTTACCTTGGAGGTAAGCCCTATATTACTGCAACGACAATCAGAATCACATGAACGTACAATAGAAGCTACAACTTTGGCCCAATCTACTGCAGCTACGATTTTCTGGACTCTAGACCAAATGAGACAGGTTGACGCGCAACTTGCTAGTGTCGGTATGTGCCCAAGTCTTGTCCGCCATAACATCGTGATGACCGAGGAACAGAAGCCCTTGCAGAAAACGAAATCATTGAGGATACTGGTGTCGTGCTTTGTTGTATGTGAGCCCAGCAAAACCGGACAATTTGTATACTAATCTGCCGACTCACAGGTAGAATACTGTACATGCTACGTAGGTCTCTCCTTCACAAATCGAATGTCATTGTGTCAACACGCAATATAGGCCACTACCAGTATCTGAACCGCCACAACCAGCCCGAAGCCCGCCTAATTCGAGGCCATGCAGTGGTAGAGAAACGTAGGACATGTAAAGCTCTCTACTTCATGGGCAATACTGCGGCTACTATACTGTGTATGCCGATCACAATCGACCGCATCAGGAACACTTCCGTTGATGGTATTGTGAATGGGGTGGACGTCAGGACCTTTATCGACGATTTCAGCAGCCAAGCTAAGAGTCAGATCACCTTGGTAAGTGCTGTGTCAACATCACAAATCTTCGTAACTCATCGGTTCTGACAGGCAGGCGTCTCCGTGGCCATGGACGTCGCCATCTTTGCCATTCCAGGTCTAGGCACAACAGTAACCTCACGGACGCTTTGCTCCTGCTCCTTACTTTTGGGCGTTGGCTGCATTTTCGCCGCTACAATGGTGCAGCACTTTGGCGAGAGAATGAGATCCATTGACGTCGCGGTTTGATTCATACTATATTGCCGCAGCCTGTGCCTGACCTTGCTTACTGAACAGGTATATTACCTACAAAAGAAGACGATGATGTTGGTCGTCATTACAAGTATACCGACGTGCTTCTGTGTATTAAGGTCAGTCAACTTTGATTATGATTGCCTCTGTCACTCATAGAATTTCTACTAGTGTAATAAGCTCGATCCTTGGATTTCTCGCAGGTGTCATTGCTGACTTCCAGCCTTCCACACCCTTGGTGGTTGCATGCTTTACGACGCTCGGCGTGGTGATAGGCTTCTTGCTTGTATTGGTGATTGCAAGTTACGGTCCCGGCTTGTCTAGGGCACGGCCTCAGTAACTAGCAATTATTTTGGAGGGTTTTCTATAAGGTATCGCATATGTAGGACTCATACATCCGGCACGAGCTGCCCTTCTTATTCTAGTTCCGAGGGGGTAGCCAACGAATGCAGTCTTTCCCCGTCCTGCTAGTAATCCAATCATGTTTATACACACCCCCTATTTGATAATGACATTGTCTTGGATACATCACCACTATGAATAACGACCATTGTGTGCCAATATTACATACATTTTACAATCGCCGATGTGCGCCTGGTTGGCATTGCAAACAGCCATAAGACTTATGCATCTTCATCACCACTATGAATAACGACCATCGGGTGCCAATATTACATACATTTTACAATCCTCGATGTGCGCCTGGTTAGCATTGTAGACAGCCATAAGACATATGCATCTTCATCAAAATTGGTTTTGTCCTGTATCTTCTTGTCCTTCCATGCCATTATGTTGTGATTATGTATCTCTCTGTAAATAGATATAATCCAGCGGACATGTGATCTAAGTTTGCCATTTATATCTATAAAAAGCTTTTCCTCGCCGATTCCCTGATGTGGCAGGCATGAGCGAGACGTGATTCAGAGGAGGCTGCTGCTGCTGCTGTGGGTGTTGTTGAAAGTGAGGGGAGGGGTTCATGGAGAGGTAGAGGGGGGGAATTGCGCTCGCCAAATTCCTCGATCGCTCGGTAGGTGCGGGGCATTACGCTCGTCGAACTCTTCGATCGCTCGTTTGTGAGTGATGGTGAGTAAATTCATTGGGTTGGTGGGCATGAGCGAGACGTGATTCAGAGGAGGCTGCTGCTGCTGCTGTGGGTGTTGTTGAAAGTGAGGGGAGAGGTTCATGGAGAGGTAGAGGGGGGGAATTGCGCTCGCCAAATTCCTCGATCGCTCGGTAGTAGGTGCGGGGCATTACGCTCGTCGAACTCTTCGATCGCTTGCTTGTGAGTGATAGTAGGCAACATGGTCTAGTTGTGCTCACCGGGTTCCTAAGACGCAATCTCAAATGCGTGATGGTCTGCGAATTTGTTCACGTAGAACACTTGAAAAGCGTCATATGAATCATAGTGCTTGAGGTCGCGTGAGATGAACTGTGTTCCATAGATTGGAACAAGGTGCGCGGCGCGATAGATCGAGTCGATGTGGATGATTCCAACGAACGGCGAATTATCTGTATCGAAAGAAGGCTTAACGATCCACATCCCTGTGTCTTCGTCGGGCCCGTCACTGGCTTTGTCGAACCAGCGTACCACAGCGCATGGGTACAAAATACCTTCGAATGTGTATGAAAAAAAACACATTATACGGGCTACCTCCATGCCCCCCATCCCTTCAACATCTACATCCATGTTAACGAACACGCAGTCATACCGGGGTGCTTCGTTTCTCCAAACGGGGCAGGCGCGGATGTGTTCCCGGCGCATGCCGCCAATCCCGCTGCGGTCGCTGGGTGCATAAAACATTGACGATGCAGAGTTGAACACTTGAATTTTTCCATCGAATTGAGGACATCTTGCAAGCGGGATGTCAGAGGGAGCACGCTGGTCGTCTGGGTTCGCTTGCTCGAATAAGAATCGGCGGAGGAGGGTGTAGAGATGGGGGATACCGAGTTCTGTTGATAGATTAGCGATAGTGCGTGCACGTTTGCGTTCTGCACAATGGGAAGGATTATATTAGAAAACTATTCAATTGAAAATATTAGCTAACTTACGAATCGTTTTTGCCAACTGAACGTGGGCTTGTACCAGCGTTGGGCTGTCGTCGATTTCACCCTCTTCGTTATCGCCGAGTATTGTAACGTCGGGGTTGGAGGGCAGCACCAAAAGATTGTCGTTGGCGTGGTTGGACTCGTTGGTGGCAGCAGGATCCTTATTCAAGCGCAAATGCTCTAGCGCAGATATTTAGCACACGGCAACAATGTAGAGAGCAATAAAACTTACTTAATCTTTGAAGCATTGCAGACAGACAGGTGCCGTTCAACATTCCACGGCTCTTGAAATCCACGCGCGCTGCTGCAAGTTTGTCTAAGCGCTGGTTTGTCACCAGCATTTGACCGAGTGCTTTGTAGCAACTCGATCGTCTCCATGGTTCCTTGACTGCCTTGATGTGCTTTGTCTCAGTGATTGACGAGCAAAGGCCATTCGGCGCACCATAAAGTCGGATAAGGAGGATGTAATGGGTGCACGAGTGTTGTCGGGGGAGGGAGAACGTGGAAACGACGCCGGTGGACTCAAAAATAGCCCTGTAATGATGGAATCGGTCGAGAGCGTCCTGGATTTGGCCTAATGTGGACTCTGTGATGATACTACGCCGTACGAGGTAGCAGAATTCAAGGAATGCACGAAACGTGCGCACCACATCAGTTGGGACGTGGCCTTCAATGGCGGGTAAATAAACCTAGATAGTTGTTAGTCTAATGGTAGCAACATTGTGATAGTGTGCAAAAAAAAAACTTACCTTCATAAGCGCTTTTGAATCATCACCTGTCCATTGTTTGAATCCTCGACCTTCTGGAAAACATCGAAGGCCCGCGAAGGAGGCGACTGCAGAAATTCTATTATGATGTGAGCTTTGAAATATTTAATCAGGACAAATTGACCTACCTTCGGTCTATATCATCTTGAATTTTCTCTGCCTCTTTCTTACCATGTACGTGTACCAAATACTTCCCAACCCACTCGACCAAATGGTCCTTGAAGGTTCCTTTTATGAGTTGATGCAGGAGATCCGGTGCAATCAACTCATGTATATCGGCGCGAGGGAAGTCGTTGGTAAACGGCTAGAAAGGGTGAATCTCGGCTGCATTAGAGACGCATATGAGACTTACAACAAGGTCGCCAACAATCCCGTACTCATCCCACAGAGCGAGGGATGTTGCAACCTCCTCGATCAGCGCCTCTGTGTGGTCACGACACCGACACAACGACTTCTCATCTAAATTTTTGCGGTTGGACATACACCTGTAGTACTACATTAGTAGTTAGAACTGAGGCAGAGGATAAAAACACACCTGGGGCACCAGCCGCGCACTATACATGCTAGAAGGACCTGCTCTTCGTAATCTGCGATATACGGACCAAGCCCGTAAATCACACGCCGATAGTGGCCATCGCCAAAGCAAACCACCTCTGGTTTGGTCATGCTAGGTCTCAAGTTCTCCAGGATCTTGGCGATGGATGAGTGGAACAATTGTCGGCGATATTTCCGATATATTGCATCGGCAGCGTGCTCCTTCGTAGCTGCTCGACTGTAATTAGTGCAGAACAACGGAAGGCATATGAGACTTACTTTTGGGCATAGCAAGGAAACCAACAATGGCAACGGCGTCACGATGTGCACGCCGGACGTTGTTGCGAACATTGCCAATCGATACATATAAGGGGTAGTAGTCGTTCGCGCCAGTCGCCACCGAAACTGTGGTCTTATCAGATCCGAGTATAACCGGCACGAAAGTTGAGCCGAG